TGCGCCGGCTGTACAAGGTCCTGTGAGACCTCCCAACCTCCTGACTGCTGCAGCTGCCAAAGAAGGTATGCATGGCTCAGCAAAGTCAAGACAGCTGTTGAAAGGTCTACCATGGATGGCTGGATATCGTGGTCTGCCTACCACGCTAATGCGCACCAAGCTGTCATCCCACCTGCAGCAATAACTGCACTATTGCCTCTGTTTCTTGACAATGCACACTCAGTGGCAATGATACGTTACTCCATGGACATCGTCAAGGCAGCAGTTCAGCACGTGAACCCTGGTCAGATTCCTGTCCTTGCAGCTGACCAACCACTGTATGCTCTTGCTAAGGAAGTCCAGTGGACCTGGCCAGCCACTTATGGAGAGGATCACTTTGTGATCATGTTCGGTGGTCTACACATTGAGATGGCCATGTTGAAGTTGCTGGGAGACTGGCTGGAAGACAGTGGCTGGACGAACACCCTGGTACAGGCTGACATTGCAAGTTCCAGAACAGCAAATTCCTTCATACATGCCAGCCATGTCACCAAGACCCGCCATGCGCACCAGCTCACAGCTGCAGGCCTTTATACACTCCTCCAACAAGCTTACAGTGAAGACTGCACACCTGATGACTATAATGCCATGCAACCTGATAGTCCGCCTTTTGAGGAGTGGTGCATACAGCGAGCAAAGGCCAGTGTCCACTTTGACTACTGGCTAAAGACCCTGTCATTGGAGCTTCTCTTTCTGCGGTACATCAGGTCACTTCGTGAAGGTAACTTCCAGCTGTATGTGGAATCCCTGACACAGATCATGCCCTGGATGTTTGCCCTAGATCACACACACTACTCCAGATGGCTTTCCGTACACATCCGTGACATGATGACTCTCGCTGAAAAATATCCACATGTCCTAGCAGAATTCAAGTCTGGACATTTTCTGGTGCACAAAACCAGCAACAAGTTCTCTGCCATGGCACTCGACCAGTGCCATGAGCAGAACAATGCAATGGTGAAAGGTTCGGGTGGGGCTATTGGACTGACTGGCAATCCAGGAGCACTTAGACGCTGGATGGTAGCAGGGCCAGATATTTCCAGGATCACTACAGAGTTTGAGCAACAGCATAGTGCTAGTGACACTGGGCACCGTCATCACGACCAGCAACCTGGCGTACAAGCAGCATTTCTGAAGGAAGTTAAAGCACTTGTGACAGTGCTGGAAGAGATGGGAAATCCATTCTTAGAACACAGCCAAGATGTACTAGTCATTGACACAAGGGACATCATGGACATCAAAATGGCTGAAACTGTGAGAAGGATCGAGACCCTTGGTGAGGAGCAGTACACCATGTTTGTGAAAGAGAGGCAAGAACAGTGTACAACACCTGTCACGCAAACACTTCCAAAGAACAAGTTGCCACTGTTCAGTAGGCCACCGGTCAAGATGAAGTTGAAACAAAAGGAACAGCTTGCAGCACTGAAGAGTGACTGTGGTCTCTTTTCGAGGCTGTACATCTCCTGTCAAACACGAGATGGAGACATCGACAATTTCTTCTCCCATGAAAACCAGGGATCCCCACCAGCTCTGTCAACTGGAGGCAAAATTCGGATTGGGGTTAAAGCAGATCTACTTCGCTGCCTAGAATCAGATCTGCTTGAAAACAGTAGTGTACCTATGGCTGATGCAACAATTTTTGGATGGTGCAGCTGTGGTTCAAATGTTAAATCCTGGAACATCAAGAACATTTCAAGAGTATGGAGATAGAGTGTTTGCACCATACATCTCTGCTCAACTTGAGAAAAGCAGCCGCATTGACCTTGTCTGGGATGTATACCTACCTGCCAGCCTGAAAGCCTCAACCAGACAAAAGAGGAAAGGGCATCAGGAAAAGGGTGGCTCCTTCTACTGTGATGCCAAAGAACTGGAAGGACTTTCTTCGATGCGATGAGAACAAACCGACTTGTTTGCTTTCCTGTCTCGCAGAGTTGTTCATCTTCCTCTCGCAGAGGGCAAGGAACTGTATGCAACAGATGGAAGTGGAGTCCTCTGCTCTCCTGCTGAGTCTTTCTTAGCCTGCCTTGCCCCGTGTTCTCAAGAGGAGGCCGACACTCGTCTACTTCTGCATGTGGCAGATGCTGTGCAAAAGGGGTGTAAGAAGGTGACCATACGTACAGTTGATACCAGAGGTGGGACCAAGTAATTGTTTTGCAAGTCCGAGTCAAGTCTTTGCGCTCAAGTCCGAGTCAAGTCTCAAGTCTTTGCACTCAAGTCCAAGTCAAGTCTCAAGTCAGGATGGGCAAGTTCAAGTCAAGTCCAAGTCCTAAACTTTGACAAAACGAGTCATAAACAAGTCATTATGTGCTTTTCAACAAATGTAATGACATCGATCAACAGAATAATACTTAATAATCAAACTGCTCTTTATTAGTCACATTAATCATTTAATAATCAATTTTCTCTCTGCTGGTAAAGTAACGTGTTTTTCTTCTATTTGAAGAGGGATCAGTAAGGTAAGGCTACCGTGACAGTTTGATTCAGGAGTTTAATGTATAAGATCCCTGATGTTGAGGTAACCAGTTTATTTCCACTGTGTACAACATGTTATGAGGGACCCACAATCTATCTTTATGCAAGGGATAATGTGCAGCCAGGCGGTCTCTATGGGGAAGAGAACACCTGCATCTAGATCCCTCTGCAGGTGGTACTTTATCTATATTTTGATGCTAATACTTTTGAACTTTTACTTGTAATATTTTGAATGCAGGACTTTTATTGTAACCGAGTATACACTCTGGTACTTTACTCAAGTACAAGATCTGAACTTCTCCCACCTCTGACAATAAATCCTGAGTGGTTACCAAAAAGAAAACCTGCTCTGAAGGTTATTTTCATTTGACAAATCCTGCACCCAGCTTTGCTTTCTCCAATATCATTGAAATTCAGCCAGATGCTGCTTCTTTTTTCGGTTTTCGCAAATTTCTTGACTTTTTCCGACGCGCATGCATTTAAATCCGGCTCCCCGTCTCCCTGTCGCTCTGTAGCTGGCCTGTACCACTACACCTCCTGTCTTTGGAGTGTCTGCCCCCCACCCTTCTTACACATAATGGTATGATCCTAGTGTGTCCTCGCATATGATTGGCCGCATGGTGGCTCAGCAAAATAAAGTCCCGCCCCTGCCTGCATGGATTCACAGCAAGAGTAGGTGCGGCTGAAGATTCTGCTCTCCCCGACGGGAGTCTGCTCTTCTAGCGGCATCTCGCGATCGGCGTGTTGGAGACCCCTGAATTAAATTATCAAGTCACCTCAAGTCAGAAGGCTCAAGTCCAAGTCAAGTCCCGAGTCATTGGTGTTCAAGTCCAAGTCGAGTCGCAAGTCTTTTGTGATTTTGTCAAGTCGAGTCCAAAGTCATCAAATTGGTGACTCGAGTCTGACTCAAGTCCAAGTCATGTGACTCGAGTCCACACCTGTGGTTGATACCGATGTGGTGGTACTGGCTGTGGCTTCATTCAGCAAAATAGCTCCTGATGAGCTGTGGGTTGCCTTTGGTGTTGGATCAAGCTTTCACTACATAGCTGTTCATGAATGAATTTCACCAAAGTGTCTGACTCTCCCAGTCCTTCACGCTTTCACCGGGTGTGACACCGTCTCTGCCTTCACTGGCAGAGGGAAGAAGACTGCCTGGGAAACGTGGAAGTCTTTCCCAGAGGTGACTGGTGCTTTCAATTAACTCCTATGCATGCCAAGTGAGGTTAGTGAAGGATCAATGTTACTGCTGGAGCGATTTGTGGTGCTGATGTACGACCGAACCAGTGAGAGCATGGAGGTGAATGATGCCAGGAAACAGCTCTTCACACAGAAGTCTAGATCTCTAGAGAACATTCCTCCAACCCAGGCAGCACTGAAGCAGCACATCAAGCGCACTTGCTATGAGGCCAACTGTTGGAACCAGGCATTGGTCTTGGATCCAGAGATGCCAGAGCCGTCTGACTGGGGCTGGACAGAGGAAACAACTGGGTGGCAGCCACTTTGGACCACTCTACCTGAAGCATCAAAATCATGCCATGAATTGATCCACTGTCGCTGCCAGAAAGGGTGCACTGGACGATGCAAGTGTGCCAAAGCTGCACTGAAGTGCACTGCACTATGTTTCTGTTCTGGAGACTGTTAGATTTAGATCTGTATTATTATCATCATTAAAATAGACTAGCACCATGGGTCTATTATTTTGTATTATTATCCCTATAGTTTCAAAATTGAAGCACATTTCACTATATTGCATAGGTCGAATCCAAAAGTTTTTAATGTAATTTGACCTTATCCTTGATCTGAATTAATTGTCTTTAATTCTGGCGATCTCAAAAGTATCATTAGATGAATGGGCACCCCCAATTTAGGTAGAAATGACACATTAAATGACACATTATTTTCTACATCGTTTGGTTCCAACATTTAAAAAAACGTGGACATTAAACACAGAGGACTGGCGGCCATCTTGGATTTGACTGTTACTTTGATGTCATGTATCTAGCTGATGATAAGTTGATATCACACACACACACACACACACTAAATAATTAGCAATTTTGCAAATTTCAACTGATTGACAGCTTATTTTTGGTCAATTTCTACCTTTATCTTCACCTAAATGCATTTTCTTGAATTCTGGCAACCTCAAAAGTATCACTAAATGATTGGGCATCCCTAATTTAGTTGGATATGACACCTTAAATGTTTTTCTACAATGTTTGGTTCCAAAATTAAGCGTGTTTGAACATTTGACCCGAGAGACTGGCGGCCATCTTGGATTTGACCTCTCACGGTCCTCACAGGTCAAATCTGACTTCCCTCCACATCTGAAAATAAACCTTATGGTATGCACTAACTATGCTAGAAATGTCATACTTTTCTCATAAAATGCACAATTGTTATAATATGAGAGCTTATCCGCTGTACTAATAGGCAAAATGACATTGAATGAGTGCTGCAGCTAGTGTCCTCAGTGCATTCCTACTGACCTGTACACTGCTGTATCCTGCATGTATTGCTCCACCTGGTTGAGGGGCTGCGAATTGTGTTTCAGCCATTGTTTACACTGTATGGCTCTTTCTTCCGATATGGTACATTCTATAAAAGTACACATAAGGATATTAACAATCTCAAAATGATATGTCTGTATTGCTTAAACAAATTATTCAGTTCCAACGATTACCTGGTATGAATGTCCTACGAGTGCCAGCTTCACTACTTTGTGGTGGTGTCTGCTGCGTGCTCTGTGACCTGGCCGGTTTTCTCATCCTCTTTCTGATGTTCCGAAGCCTCTCTTCGAGGAATCCAGTGGCTGGGCGGCGGTTCCGTCCTGGGGTGAACCAGTATCCCTGTCAAGAAATGAAAGTCTTTGGTGAATAGAGATGAGGCACATTTTGATAGCGTGGCGACAACATGTGGCTGAGCCATCTAGAACAGGGTTTGTCTGTATGTCTGTCTGACAACACCGGGCATCAAACAGCCAGTCCAGTACTCTGGTGCTGGGAGATGAGTTATATTGTGTTCAACTGACTGTTTTAGCATAAATTCCTCAATAAAATGTTAATTACTTACTCGTCCTTCAAGGAGGGAAACCCATGAATCAAAGCTGCAGCCAAGGCCTTTTTTGTCTCACTGGTAGGACTGCAAACACAGAAAAACTAAATTACTAGCAGAGTCAAATTAGATCTTAAGTATTTCTAAAACATGTGTTGCACCCCAGTATAATGGCTGTAGCATATTCTGCAGCTAATAGGGATCCTAATAAATTAAAAACACTACTGAACGTGTGTTTTGGTACTTGTGTTGTGCATGTTTATGTTGGTGGTCTAGGTAAATGTCAGACTTGAAAGTAGTTTCCCATCTTATCTTTTCCCCTGAAAGAAGATTCATATACCTTTTTCAAACTAACATAACATTCAGCAATAACAAGAAAAAAAAAACACTTTTTAATTACCTCTCCAAACTTCTCCATGAGGTGAGACACCAAAATACGGACAAGGCACTTGCTTTGCGAAGGGATGATCACATCCTCATCAAGGCTCCCCAGGATCAGCTTGCCTTCAGTTGAGCCTGTGAGAATCTGGCAGATATCCTGAGAAAATTCAAGAAGGGACAACATCACAGATATAGTTTATTACTCTTTAGTGTTGATTAAAGAAAAAAGTGAAAGCCAAGTCTTAAAAAATGGAGCGTTTGAGGTATCATCGGTGGTACGACAGGTGCCGTTTGGTCCTCCATGGAGGGTGGACGTGTGGCAGTTGCCAGTCCTTCCTCCATGAGGGGTGGAGTTGTGGCAGTTGGTTGGACATCAGGACTTGTAGGTGGCACAGCAGGTTCAATCTAAACAGAAAACCCAGGTTAGTGTAACAAACAGTGACAGCCACCTAGAATTGCCGGATGAGCATCAGTAATGTAAATCAGTGTACCACACCATGGGACTCAGAAGACTGCACACAGTATGCATGGTGTGAGAGATGTGCACCAGAAAGGACACTGCCAACGTTTTGATAAATTCAGAGAGCTGTGTAAAGTATGGTTTATATTGACCCCTAAGCAGACACAAAACCACTCAGAAACCCTTCACCCGAGTGAATGAAAAATGCGACAAGTTTGGGACCATGCAGATCTGCGGCAAATTGAAAAAGATATAAAACAAACATGTAACTTCTTAACTGACAGTGACTACTACTGTACATCGTCGCCGTCGGGTGGAAACTGTGTATGTCCAAAATTGTTCCTTTTATAATTTTTAACATTTTAAAATTGTGAAATAGCCAATCGACAAGCTCTTGACGTTGGGAGCTTGTAGATCTATTTGTACTACTTTTGTACAACACTATGACGAATTAGTACATTTACAAATATAAAAAACATAGTTTAAATATGGAGACACAAGGTTTCTGCCCAACAGCAACGATATGTAGACAGATTAAACAAAAAATACTTACTGTACAATTTATCACATCCATCCCAGTATTTACAGAAACATCCCAGTACTCCATCGCATGATCATCCCTGTAGTCCAAAGGCACCTTTTAAGCAGCATTTATAGCTAACCACTAAACAAATATGGCAGGAAAAAATGGACTTCAGTCAAAATGCTATTTACAAAGTGTCATACCTACTGTACACACACCTGGTGGCAGTAAGCTGATTTTCTAAAAAAGTCTATAGCGCAGTGAAATGTATAAACTGTCATCAGTCTCGCTGAATGACTTCACTGCATGTACAGTAGGGGATGGTGATCAAGCAGCTCTCTCACATCAACAGCTGCCAAAACTTGAGTGGGAATCACACTGTATACAAAGAAATGCCTATCAAACCATTGTGTTTCCCACTTCTGTACAACAAGTTTTATTGTTGGTGTGTGTGATGTTTGGTCTAGTACTAAAATGGACTTTATGAGACCAAATTGGGGCTCCCCATCTGGGTCATAAGCAGTATTGGGACTAACGCGTTACAAAGTAACGCCGTTACTTTTGGCAGTAACTAGTACTCCAATGCGTTATTTTTTAAATGCAGTAACTCAGTTACCGTTACTACATGGTGCGTTACTCCGTTACTGCGTTAGTTTTTTTATATAGTCAACAGCCAGGCGAACAGAGATGAGAACTGTACTTAAGTACAGTACTTGAGTAAATGTACTTAAATACTTCCTGTGTCACATGCGGAGACGCGCTGTGGGCGTGTTTGTGTTTAGTTAGCCTACCAACAATACTATCATGGCGACGGCGGAGCACAAGTCGAGTTTCTCCGCATGGAGATATGCTCACTATTTAACTTTTCTCGAATATAAAGAAAATAACGTGGTAGTTAAGTATAAGTTGTGTCTTGGCGGGTCAAAGATCCTATCTACTGCTCAAAACAGCAATTTCAATATGTTAAAACATCTGCAAAAACAACATGCTGGGACGAAGCTAGTAGCTAAGACCACAGACCCAGAGCCATCCGACGGCGACGCCACTCCACCTCCACCCAAGCAACAGCGGTTGGATTTCAACCGAGGGACTGCTAGCCAGGTGAAAGTGGATAAAGCCATTGCACGGTATGTTGTAGAACACGTGCAGGCTATTTCTACAGTGGAGTCACCCGCTTTCAGGGAGCTAGTTAGCATGATACCATGTCCGGGCGGCACACGGCATATGGGACGCAAAACGTTTTCCAACTACCTGGAGAAAGAATATACCAAAATGGAAAGCGAGCTAAAGAAAACATTTGAGGGGCTGGAATACATCTCGACCACCGCAGACATTTGGTCTGTCCACAACAGAAGCTTCCTTGGGATAACATCTCACTGGATAAACCCCACCACTTTACAACGCCAGAAAGCTGCGTTGGCCTGTACAAGGATAAAGGGTAGGCACACGTACGATCTTATTGCTAGTGAGATTGACCACATTCACTCTTTGTATGGAGTGTCAACAAAAGTTACCTCCACGGTTACTGATAACGGGGGAGGCTGGGCTCAGTGGGTAGTTTGCTGGACTTCGAATCACAGGGTAGCAAGTTCGAGTCCCACTGCGTCAGCATGTTGTTGTGTCCCTGGGCAAGACACTTCACCCCAAATTGCTCCTGTGGGGATTGTCCACAGTACTGAATGTATGTAAGTCGCTTTGGATAAAAGCGTCTAACAAATGACATGTAATAATAATAACGGCTCTTTGCCATGTATCAACCGGAATCGCTCTCTGACGACGATGATGATGAAGAAGAGGTTATCTTCACTGACGTTGCAGACGTGCTTAACACCGCCGCAGAGGAAGGGATTGTTTTACCTCCGCACCAAAGATGTGCATCTCACACACTAAACTTAATTTCATGCGCTGACGTGCTGAAGTGGCTCCTTTCAAATCCTGGGACTAAAGGAATCTACAGAAGCTCTACGGCTAAGTGCACAGCACTGTGGAATAAGGCAAGCAGGTCCACAGTGGCCTCAGAGATAGTGAGCGACGTGTTCACCAAAAAGCTGCTTGTGCCATGCACTACAAGATGGAATTCATTTTATGATGCTGTGGCAAGAATTGTTGAAATGCCTATGATTGACTTGAGTGCCATCTCTGATCGTTTACAGCTAAAATCTATTAGCGACAGGGAACTTCATTTTCTGAAGGAATATTGTGCCATAATGAAGCCACTCACAGTTGCTCTGGACATCCTGCAAGGAGAGGACAACTGTTACTTTGGCACCCTCCTGCCCACTCTAGAAACATTAATGTCAAACTCCCTGGAGATGAAAGACAGTCTGACTGTAGCAACTGGCCTACCTGAAGCCATAGTTCAGGTAAGAAACATTCATCAACACTTTTGTAATTATCTGGTTTTCCCTCTTCACTGTAGAGAAAGACTGCATGTAATCAGTGGACACCACTCATTTTTATTACAGCACACGTGGTATAATTCTTAACTATAGAATAGATGTCATTAATATTGTTAGCTGAGAGAGAGCACTAATATAGCCAAAGAAAATGGATGAAATGTGCAAAAAGTAGTTTTCAATGCATTCTATTTAAGGGACACAATAAGTCTTGAACATATTGATAAACTGACTGAAATGTATAAACTCGACTCCAGGGTGCAACAGAAATAAATAGTAATACTTTTTTTGAAAAAAAAAAAAAATAATAAATAAAGTTTTAGTTTAAATTATTTAATAACTCATAACCAGTGGCGGCTGGTGGAAAATATTTTTGGTGGGGCTGTTGATATAGTGAGTAAAAAAAAATGTTTGGGGAGAAATGACCCCTTAAATTAGGACTTCTGGTGATGTAATGGCGCGTTTCCAGTGCAGCACGGAGCTCGCTTTAATGCTGCGTTCAGACCGGACGCAATGCGAATATTCGCTTCGCGTCCGGTCGCTTCGCATCGCATCGCTCTAGTCGCTCGAGTTTCACCGCGGCTGCCAGCTGTGTTTACTCGCATCATTCAAACAAGACGCGCTCGGGAGCTACAACTACAACAACATGAACATATTTTACCGTGATTAAATTGTAGTACACGTTTCTAAATGATGCCGACGTAACAACATATACCGGTTAGTAAAAACCATGAATTAATGCTTTGACAAGTCTGAAGACAGACGGCAGGCGAAAAACCTTTTAGAATGCTTGTTTTCTGAATGGAGCTTGGCTAAGCTAACGTTATATATGCTCCGACCGTCCACACTCACAACAACGGCCTATACAGACATAAATAAACCAGCGACTGTATTCTCCATGACACAGACAGTCTGTGGTTTGTACTTGTTTAACTTTTGTCTAGTTTCTGAACAGATCGTATCTGTCCCCGGCTGTTTGAAGAGCAAGCATGGGAAACAAAAGACAGCATTTACCTGTTTGCATCCAGCTAGCCATGCCTTTCTGGTGTACCAGCTACGTGAGAAGCCTCGTTGATACGTTTTGTCTTTTTCACGAGCTTGCTGCGATATATACAAATCGGGTTGGTCCGGACCAAGGTCTTTAAGTAACAGTTTATCTCCCAAACTTCTCCTTTCGAAAGGATTGGAGATTAGCTCTTGAACGGAATTGGGCGGGGACCGAGGTCCGGCGACTCCACCTGCACACGAAGCCATTCTCATCCAACTCATCCAACACCTTGGTCACTCACGAGTCAACATAACATAACATAACAACTCACGTCAACGCACGTAAGCAACGTGGGCGCCAACGTGAGCGCCCTAGTGACCAAAATATTTGACGCCGCTGATTGGCTGAAATTATGTTTCGGCGGCACAGTTTACTATTGAGACTTTTGCAACGTGCTGGTTGCTGCTGTTTGGCTCGGGGGCTCCTTGCACGGCGCCTGGTTATGATAAACTAATGCCACGGGCAAGGCCAGGCAGGAAACATGTGACTTATCAGTAACTTTAGACATCATAACACAATTTTAAACGAGATTTTATTGTAGATTATACATTTTACTGATACCAATTGTATGATATTTACCTTGTTCATTACAAATAAAAATATAAAATATATATTTTTATTTTATTTGTATTTTTTTAAATATTTTTTTTTAAATTTAATAAAAAAAAATAAAAATAATTTGTATGTGGGAAGAGGTGGGGCGGCACCCCTAGCGCCCCTATGGGCCGGCCGCCACTGATCATAACTATAGTTCAAAATCACCTGGTGGTGTGCAGCTTTCATGGAAATGTACACAAATAAAATGAATAAATAAAAGGGAATCTCACTTATTCTAATGTCTGTGTCACTGTGTGTATGTTTTACAGGCTATCAAAAAACGATTTGCATCCGTCTTGGAAAGCAACGATGCAATGCTGGCAGCCGTCACACTTCCCAAGTTTAAGTTACGGTGGGTGAGAGACCAGAGGAAGAAAGAGATGGTCAAGGGAATCCTGGCAGCAGAGTGTCACAAGTTTCTCCCTGGCCCTGAGCAGCAACCAGCCAGGAATCCTGTGTCTCCGACAACGCCACCAGACTCAGGCTCCTCCGAAGACAAAGAGCAGGACTTTTTTTGCTTTGAGGATGACGATGAAACCTTCAGCACTGTGGAAACTGAGGTAATGGCCTACTTGAAAACAGCTGAAACAGGCATGGAGATTCTCAAAAAATGTCCCACAATAAAGGCAATTTGTCTGAAGCTAAATGCAGCTACCCCATCCAGTGCACCAGTTGAGAGACTCTTCAGTCTGGGAAGTCTGGTACTGTCTCCAAAGAGGAACAGGCTGTCTGACCAAAGGTTTGAGAAGCTGCTTCTCATGAGGTACAACCACTGGTTCGAAAGCTAAACCTCCACTCAAACATTAATTCAGGTCTTTGCCAATAAGCACTTTTTGTTGTTTTGATTAACTAGGCCCACATTTGTTATCTGTGTGTGTGTGCCACAGTGACACAACAGCACTTTAATTTATGTTATATATATATTACAAAACACTTATTGTATGCTTGCTGGACTTCATACTTGAGCTAAAGGAAAAACAGTGACTTTTTTATATTTATTTTTGTTGGACTACAACAGCAGTTGCCTCTATATGGTGCTGAAAGCACTTTAATTTTTGCACTTTGATTCTGAACAATATATTCAGCTTACTCTCCATTAGTTTCAGAAAAGCCAGCATACAACTCTTATTTTATGGTATTGCTTGTAGATTTCATTTTTGAGGAGCTGATGTTTTTTGTTTTAATGCATTTATGGTTGTCTTGTCTGTACCAGCATTTGGTGTGAAAGTACATTCATTTGTTCCAACTTGATTCTGAATAATATATTCAGATTGTATTTGATCTTGGGAATATTAGTGTGTATATTGTTGAGTGTGTTCAGATCCACCATAACAGGTTTACAGCTATGTTGTGTTAATTATGGCAGACTAGACCTGTAGATTGCAGGCAACTAAAGTTTTGTCAGTTTGTTCTGGCCTGAAATAAATTGGCACTTTGAAACATATCTTTGTGTTTGTATAGACCACATTGCTTAGCAGAGTTCAGTGATGCAAATGCATGTCAAGTTGATCAACAGATTGTATTATTCTCCAATGCAATAACAGTACTGAAATG